TTAGGTTTATTTAGGTTTAGGTGTTTATTTTTTTTGATTGTGGGATGGGGTTAAATTTTTGTATTTATTTAGGTTTATTTTTGTATTTATCAGTTTATTTGTTTATTCGTTTATGTTTATTTAGGTTTAGGTGTTTATCTTTATTGTATTATTTTTTATGGTATTAAGGTTTTGTTAGGTGTTTATCTTTATTGTGGGAGGGTGTTTATTTTTGCGTTTATCTATTTATTTGTATATCTATTTAGGTTTATTTAGGTTTAGTTGTTTATTTTATTGTGGGATGTTGTTTATTTTTGTATTTATTTATTCATTTGTTTATTTAGGTTTTGTTGTTTATTTGATTGTATATTTCTATATTTCTTATTTTCTTATTTTTTGTTTGTTTATTTATTTTGACGCTTATAGATGGTATTTTTGGTTTGGGAGAATTCTAAGTTGTAGATATTCTTTTTTTTTAAATCGAGTATCGATATATTTCTATGATGGGATATTATGGTTGAGATATTTGGAATATCTTTTTTATCTATGATCTATGATGGAATGTCAAATTTAGAAAATATATGTAATGCATCTTTTTTACCCGAGTTTCAATATCGAACTGTTTTCTGAAATGGAAAATCAAGCAAAAAAAAAAAAAAAAAAAAAAAAAAAGCTTATTTTATTTTATTTTTTTTTATTATTTTTTTTTTTTTTTTTTTTTTATTCCACTATGAATTATTAGATTTTAAGGTCGACCATTCATTTTCCTATGATTAAGGTTGTTTGTAATAAGTTTTCTCTCAATTGCACAGGAGTTGAATATATAATTCTTATGCACTATTTTTCTTTTTTTTTATATTATCATTATTTCTTTATTGCATTTTATTCTATGTCATGTGTAAGTATAGAAATATTTTGCGTATATACAAACTCTTTCGTTTTATTTATGTTTTCTTTCTTTCCTTCTTTCTTTCTTTTTCTTTTTTTTTTTTTTTTCTTCTTTCTTTCTTCTTTTTCTTTCTTTCTTTCTTTTCTTTCTTTCTTTTCTTCTTTCTTTCTTCTTTCTTTCCTTCTTTTCTTTTCTCTTTCTTTCTTTTTTTTATGGAAAGGTTTCGAGTGTGAAAAGTTTTTGTATGGATTGTATGTAATGAGAACAGACTGTAGTTTATAGCCCTGAGGATATAGTTTATAAAAGACCGTGCAGACACCAAATAAATGTAGTGATTAAAAAAATAGAAAACAAAAACTCCTTTTATATACACTGAAGATGAAGTCTTGACAGTACTGGTTTGCATCAACGTGAAAGAGAATGTTTAAATGCATACATAAACGTATACATATATGTGTACAGACATACACACACATATACGTATACACACACACATACATACACATACGCTCACACACACACACACATACGCCCCCAAACACACACACCACACGCATACGCTCCACCCCCACCCCCACACACACATCTCCCACACACTCAAACACACATACACACACACGCACACACACATACATGCATAAAAAATTATAAACCATCCAAAAGCAAAACAAACAAACAAACGACAACACCCACAAAAAGATCTGAATTAACTCTGTGATTAGTCAATGTTTACCTTGCTTTCGAAATACCAATTTCTCTGTGAGATTTCTTGCCCTGCAGTGTATCAAAGGGGCGGGGGATACGAGTGTACCTAATTCTCTCACTCCCTGTCTGGAGGCAAATGTCTTATCTTATTTTAATAAATGAAGAGAATATATATGAAATAGTTAGTAAATATAGGTTTGTACAACAACTACAACAAAATCTGCTGTTGAATCAAACAAGAGGGCAATTTTATTAAAAAATATAAAACAAAGGAATAGATATAGGCCTGTACCCCTAGTACTTTTTATGTCATTTTCTCCCTATTATTCGTCAAATAAAGAAAAGGAATTAACCCAGCTCTGTCGACAAGCTAGAGGTCAGCATCCTTACCCCAAAAAAGAAGAAGAAAAATAATGATAATGATAATAATAATAATAATAATGAATAATATAATAATAATAATATAATGATGATTGAGATAAATAAATAAATAAAGTATAGGCCCGTACCCCAATGTCTTTTTTCTCTACCCACCGAAAGGCGGGAAAAATTAATCCCAACCCAACAATCTAAAGTCTCGCATACCTACCTTATTGAAATAACAATAATAATAACAATCACATACACCTTTCTAATAGCTCTATGACTCGCTTTCCTATAGAGTTGCTGATACGTCATATCTCTCTAATGAAGAACATAAACAGGGCGACAATTTAGAGTTGCATCACATACGGGACCTTGAATGCGGTGATGACGTCAGAGATGGACGATGTCGTTTGAGGGACCATGTCTATTGAACTCTTTATCTATCTGTCTATTCAATCAGGTGTTAATTCGTTTATGTGTTTATTTATTTATTTATTTATTTTTGATTATTTGTTTGTTTGTTTATTTTTGTTTATTTGTTTGTTGGACTTTTTTTATTAT